TATATACTATATACTCTATGATGAAATTGCACCCCTGTCCTGCCCAGAGCTGGCCACATCTCCTAGATTGTAAGCTCCAAGGAGCAGGGCCCTTGAACCCATCGTGTATCGCATTGTATTGTTATTGTACTGTCTCATGTATTGTCTCCCTTTGCAATGTACAGCGCTGAGCGAACTGTTGATGCTTTATAAATACTGTATAATAATAATAATAATAATCTGCCTACAACAACTATCTATCACCCCCCCGGACGCTCTTGCTCCACTTTCTACACGCAGAACCAGGCCTCGCCTGTCACAACCCTGGCAAACAGATAACACCAGAAGTCTCAAGAGACGCAGCCGCACTCTTGAGCGAGCATGGCGTAAAAATGAATCCCTGAAAAACTTTACCGTCTACAAATCCGCTCTTCTCAAATACAACTCCAGCCTCCATGCTGCTAAGCAAACATACTATAACACTCTCATCAAGACCCTTTCATCCAATCCTCGTCAACTCTTCTCTACCCTTAATTCCTTACTCCACCCCCCACTGCCTCCACCCACCAACTTACTTACTGCACAGGAGATTGCCAGTCACTTCAAGAAGAAGATCGACACAATTCGTGATGAGATCTCCAGTGTCAAGCTTCCTCCTCTAACCAACATACCAGGCCCAACACCAAACTCTACACTCTCCTCCTTCGACCCTGTTACCTCCAAGGAAGTTACCGAACTCCTTTCCAAGGCCCACTTCACCACCTGTCCCCTGGATCCTGTCCCCTCATGACTGTTGCAGCCTCCTTCCTGCTCTATCCTAAATTCTCTAATCCACATCTTCAACCTCTCACTCTCCATGGGCACCTTTCCCTCCCCACTCAAACATGCACTGGTTACCCCCATCCTCAAAAAACCCTCGCTGGACCCCACCTGTTTGAATAACTTAAGACCCATCTCCCTGCTCCCGTTTGCCTCCAAGCTTCTCGAGCGCCTTGTTCACAACCGTATGAACTGCTACCTCACCGACAACAACCTTCTTGATCCCCGACAGTCTGGCTTCCGCCCACAACATTCCACAGAAACTGCCCTACTAAAACTCACTAATGACCTACTAACTGCTAAAACCAACAACCATTACTCCATACTCATACTCCTTGACCTTTGCGCTGCCTTTGACACAGTCGACCACCCGCTCCTCCTCAGTAAACTCCACTCCATCAGCCTCCGTGACTCTGCTCTCTCATGGTTCTCCTCTTACCTTTCTCAGCGCACTTTCAGTGTCACATACAACTCCTCCTCCTCCGCTCCGCTTCCTCTTTCTGTTGGGGTACTCCAAGGTTCTGTTCTTGGGCCCCTCCTTTTCTCTCTCTATACCTCCTCCCTGGGCCAACTGATAACCTCCCATGGCTTCCAATACCACCTCTATGCTGATGACACCCAGATCTATCTCTCCACTCCCCAGCTCACCCCCTCAATTTCCTCACGTATCACAAATCTACTAAGCGACATATCAGCATGGATGTCACATCACTACCTTAAACTCAATCTTTCAAAAACTGAGCTTGTAATATTTCCTCCTCCCCGATCCCCCACTCATGACTTTACCATTAAGATCAACAGCACTACCATTGGTCCTTCCCCTCATGCCAGGGTACTAGGCGTAATCCTTGACTCTCCTTTGGGCCCCACATCCACTCACTGGCTAAATCCTGCTGCCTCAACCTCCCGAACATTTCCAAAATCCGCCCCTTCCTGACCAATGACACCACAAAACAAACTTATCCATGCCTTGGTTATATCCCGCCTCAATTACTGCGACTCTCCCTCCACACTGGTCTACAGTTACACAGATTATCCCCCCTTCAGTCTATTATGAATGCTGCTGCTAGACTCATACACCTTACCAACCGATCAGCGACGACTGCTGCCCCTCTCTGCCAATCCCTCCACTGGCTTCCACTAACCCAACGTATAAAATTCAAAATACTAACCACAGCTTACAAAGCCATCCACAACACTGCCCCTAGCTACATCACCAACCTCATCCACAAATACCGCCCAAATCGCCCACCCCGCTCCTCTGCCTTTAGGCGATCTTTGAAAATTCACTTCTTCAGGGAAGCTTACCCCACCTCCACCTAAGAACTGTACTTGAATCACCTCCGCCAGATCATCCCCCACAGCTATCACCTTTTGTATCACCTCCCCCTTCCTTTAGATTGTAAGCTCCCCGAGCAAGGCCCTCCTATTCCTTCTGTACTGAAATGTATTGTAATTGTACTGTCTCCCTGATATTGTAAAGCGCTGCGCAAACTGTTGGCGCTATATAAATCCTGTATAATAATAATAACTATAGCATACACCTGTGTAAAGGCCGTGTTTCCCTGCATAGGGATGCACAGGTGTTCCATGCATTCCCGTGCAGACAGTCACATTCATGTTAAGGTGCATGCATCAAACACTGTCTGCATTCGGGCCGTGCAACTGGACCTGCACGCCAGCCAAATTGGGAGCACAGCCTGCCTGTAGTCCAATGGTCAGACTTCTGCTGACATGCCCCCCTGTACAGCTCTTCACTGGGATGATCAGTGTACTGCTGTCTCTCTGCCTCCTGCTGACACACCCCTGCAGTCTCTATCCCCACCTCTCTAAGCCCCTTATGCAGCTGAGAACTCTGAGAACAGAGGTCATATGATCGAAAAAGAAAAAAGTATTGAATATATATATATATATATATATATATATATATATATATATATATATATACAGTATGTAATGACATTATCATGTTTCTGTGTGTTATGAGTTCAGCTACAGTCCCATGCTTTCATGTTGTATCCCTATGTCTGTGCAGTTTCTTTGTGGAAATAACTTTACATCTTTTAATTAATGTAAACCAAAAATCTACATATTTAAGAAGTTGTACAGCACAGATTTAAAGATATGCTTTGTTTAACTGAAACAATCTACAAATCTAACAAAAGTGTCTAGAAGCACTTATTACAGATCTTATTCAAGGTTCCTCTGTTGCTTTTGTACTGTATATCCTTTCATGTGCATGGGGGCAGTTAGATAGATGAGTGCTTTTATCCTCTGCTAGAATACATAAGTAATGCCACATTCTAATTTTATAGCAGTAATAAGAACATACAAACATTATTTTTATGTTTAATGAAAATGCTTTAAGTATATGTAAACCTTCACCATGTAAAGCAACCCATTCCATTTAAAAAAGAAATGTAACACAAAACATTTGTGTAAAGATATAAAAAAAATTATCAAAACGGTTTTCCCTTTTTTAGAAGTGATCACATTCCCTCTGTTCTCATCTACATAAAATCTGCGGAGGAGAAATCGCAGCATACTGAACCTTCCAGTGAAAGGCTGCACAGTGGAGTGAGGGGGGGGCGGGGGTGTCTGGACAAGTCAAAACATTGGAGGAGACTGAGACAAGCAGCTAGAGAATGACCACGCTCTGCTCTCCTACTTAATGTGCTGTTTTTAATAGGAAAGCAGAGGGACTGGCAGGAACTCCAGGGATTTCACACAAAGGCAGTAATACAAAGAGAACAGGATACTTTTTCATACAAGTACATGGTACAGCAGGCACATTTCAGGTATATGAAATGTTGGGTTTACATATTCTTTAAAGAAAGAAATATGGTAAAAAAGATATAAGTAGTGGAGTAGGAGAGTAAGAATAGCACAGGTATGCCACTAAAGGAAACAATGTCCATGACAAGGGACTAAAAGGTTGGAGGGATGAAGATATTGCCCATAGTCCTCATAATGTTAAAAAGTTCATGTAGGCTAAATCCACAAGAATATAGCAGCCATCTATCAGAGATGAAGCTCCTCTGTCATGGATATATAAGTGGGAAAGAACAGTAGAACAGTTGCTATATGCATTTATAATAAATCCGATTTCACAACTTACTGCACTCAGAAAGCGCTACTGTTCTTTCCCACTTATATACTCAAAGAAATATGGTAGTAGCCATTTTTCTTTAAAGGTATATGATTCAGGTCTGTCAGTAGTTGTGAATTATTACAAAGTAACCCCCTTAGGAGTCGCTGGGTTTTGAGTGGTATGGTCATGGTGTGAATACCCACTGAGTGGTATGGTCATGCTGCCTCCTCTCCCACCACTACTACCACCAGGGCTGCTGTTAGAAATCGTGGAGTCCTGTACATGTTGCTACAGAAAAGAATGTTCGTGGGCCAATAATTTTTTTTTTCTTTCCAGGTCACAGCTCATACTCATTTCTTTTTCGTTTATATTTCCTGCATTGTTCTCCCATTCTGTGACCCACTAATGGTGTAATTCTTAGGAAAGATTTTCAAAAGAAAATGATTTTCGAAATTTGACCGTTGCTGGCTTAACCACTAGCCTACAGGGCACTTATACCCCCTTCCTGCCCAGGCCAATTTCCAGCTTTCAGCGCTGTCACATTTTGAATGACAATTGCGCGGTAATGCAACACTGTACCCATATGAAATTTTTATAATTTTTTTGAGACAGATAGAGCTTTCTTTTGGTGGTATTTAATCACCTCCGGGATTTTTATTTTTTTTTAAACAAACCAAAAACCACTGAAAATTTTGAAAAAAATAGTTTTTTCTTAGTTTTTGTTATACAATTTTGTAAATAAGTGATTTTTCTCCTTCACTGTTGTGCGCTAATGAGGCTGCAGTGATGGGCACTGATAGGCTGCACTGATGGACACTGATAGGTGGCACTGATGGGCACTGATGAGGAGGCACTGGTAGGTTGCACTGATGGGCATTGACAGGCATCACTGATGGGCACTGAAAGGCAGCACTGATACATGACACTGATATATGGCACTGATAGGCGGCACTGACTTGCACTGTTAGGCAGCACTGACTGGCACTGTTAGGTGGCACTGACTGGCACTGATAGGCGGCACTGATGCGCACTGATAGGCGACACTGACTGGCACTGATAGGTGGCACTGATTGGCAGCACTGATAGGTGGCACTGATTGGCATTGATAGGTGGCACTGACTGGCACTGATGGGGGCTATTGAAAGGCAGCTCAGATGGGCACTGATATGTGGCATTGATGTGCACTGGTATGCACTGATATGTGGCATTGATATGGCACTGATGGGCACTGGCACGTGGCACTGATGAGCACTGACTGCTGGCACTGATGGACACTGACAGGTGGCACTTCTGGGGCCACACTGATCATCAGGGCACACTGATCATCATTGCCCTGATGATCAGTGTACATGTCCCCTCCGCGGAAAGCCGATTTCTGGCTCTCCTCTCCTTACGAGCTGTCAGCATGACAGCTCGAGAGGAGAGAAATGCCGATAACCAGCATTTCCATGTTTACATGTGATCAGCTGTGATTGGACACAGCTGATCACATGACCGAGCCGACATCTTCGGCTCTTTCCATGATCCGCTGTGTCCGAGGGACACAGCGCACCGGCGATCGCCGCGCTGCACGCTCCCTGAGCCGCGCACGCGCGGTGAGAATGGAAGGACGTCATATGACGTCCTATCAGAACGAGAGAACCACCTTGCGCCCATCATTGTACTATATGGCGGGCGGAAGGTGGTTAAGGCTGACCATACACTATACAATTTTCTGTTCAATTTCTGCCCAATTTCCTTTAGATTTACCTTCAGCTATGTAGTGCAAGGGTCCTGCCTACTTGGACACAATTGAAAGTGTTGTTTAGGTTTGACCTCAAGGGCCTATTATATGGTTTTGGTAGTTGTGAGGTCAAAAATTCCAGGAGAGGGCACAGCTTGTGTTATTGATGGTGCAGGTGCACTGTATATGAAAAAAGAAAATATGGAATATTGATGGAAAGATTCTCATTTGGAAGGATTATGAACAGTGATTGACTGAACTATTCCAATATATTTTGGCACATTGTTTGAAGTATTTTTTTCACCTATGGACTTTACTGTTTTAATTCATCTGACCAGGCTATTAGACTTTCAAAGAAGGAAGGACAATGTCCTTTACTAAGCAGAAAGCAGAAGCACAGCATGTATTTGTAATAGATATATTGTATATGCCACCATCTCCAAACTTCAAGATTAGCCCACATTAGTAAGATTGTTTTATAAGAATCTGCTACTTCCCTTTTAATTATTTTTAATTTTCAGCTTATATTGTTATTGTTGAAAAGTGTATCTTTTTCAAGGCCAGTTCTGTAGATATTATATATACAGGGTTGTATTTATGGTTTTTGGATATCTTCCTATAGCATAGCTGGACAGTTGGGTCTGTCAGAGAATTCAGCTGTTTAATATGAGCAGTGTGCATCTGAACCAGCAATTAGGGCTGTACTGTAAATACAGTGGTTAAGATTGTTGCACGTCGATTATAGTTATTAGAGGATTTAAACCTGTCTTGTTTTCTTTAATAATAATGGCTACCTTCATGTTTTCCTTTTTGTTAAACCTATTTGTAAAAAGGAGAAACAGGTTATTTCTTACTGATTATTAAAATTACGTTCTCTTGGCTCAAATGGCATTGCAGACCATTAGTGTGTATTACACTTTAATATTTTGCAAGATTTTCCTGAAAGAGCTAATGAAAGAATTCTATCTCTAACAATTTCACATTGTTCGGACGGTCTCCCAGAAATAATTATTTTAATACATATGCTACCTGGTGAAATGGACACCATTTATGTTTTCTTCAGCTGCATCTTATCCTTAAAGTGAAACTCCAATCAATAACTTTCAGAGACCATAGAGAAGCTAGATGTTTGCTTCAATGTAAATATGGTATATTCAGGGGTCTCCAAAATTTCTAATCAAAGGGCCATATTACTGTCCTTCAGACTTTAGGGGGCCAGACTGTGGCCAGTGGGAGTAGAAATTGTCTTGGCATCAGTGGGAGATACAGTATAGTGCCCCATCTTTGATATTAGGAGGAGGAAGAGTGCCCCATCTTTGGTATTAATGGGAAGAACAGTGCCCGCCTTTGGTATTAGTGGGAGGAATAGTGCCCCATTTTTGGTATTAGGGGGAGGAATGGTGCCCCATTGTTGGTGTCAAAGGGAGGAACAGTGCCCCATCTTTGATGGTAGGGGGAGGAATAATGCCCCATCGTTGGTAGTAGTGGGAGAAATGGTGCTCCATTGGTATTGGGGGGAGGAATACTGTCTTTTATCAGTGAGAAGAATGGGCCCCAAGGCCCAACTAAAGGTAAGCAAACGGCTACAGTTTGGAGACCAGTGGTATACATGATCCCAAAAGTGGCATATGTAAAACAGTGTACACATTTTGGTAAGCCCCTTCTCTGTAAATAGGACCATTTTAATGTAACGCCCTCCAGGTTAGTCAGATCGTTTTTGTTAAAAAGAGGCTGAGTAGCAGCCTGGGGATGAGTCAGCCTTGGAGTGAGGTAGTGAAGTTACCTCAGGACAAGCTAGGAGACTCTAACAGATCAGGGCTTCTGAAGCCCTCCCACCTCTCAAGAAACCTGGGAGCTTTCTGGAGGAGGGGTGGAGCAGGAGAGATCTGCTTGTTTGTGGGACCCTGACCAATCCCCTGGCAGGAGGCTGGGTTTGGTGACCAGGACAATCCTCAAATGTGGCAAAGCCTGGGGGGGGGGGGGGGGGTGCAGTGTGGAAGATGGATTGAGGACAGCCTGTGTAGCACAGCAGAAGCCAGCCCAGCGTAAGAACTGAAGGCATCCACCAACCCATTAAGCTAACAGCAGAGGACAATGTGAGTACTCTTACACCCCCTGGGTCGGATAAGGGGAGAGGGCATTCAGGTGTAATACGCAACTAGCTTCTCATCTGGAACTGTTTAATCGGCAGCTCCTGGGCCCCCTTGCTCAGGGATACCCTCAGGCAGCTGGGTGAAGAGGAGGAATCATCCAGGGTCTGAGGAGATTTACCTAAGAGCCTTTAGTGTTCTTCAAAAAGAGACTGTAGCTAATCCAAATATTTTTACATAGTTTCTAAGGAGTTGTCCTCAAGTCCTACAGTTCCTCAGGCATCCCATATACCCCTAGACCCTATCCAAGTTTAACCCCTCAATAAAATAAAAAAAACCCAAGCTCAGCTTGCTTGGCCATACAGAGCATAGGGGGACCTAGCACTACAAGGGTAGTGCTACATTAGTAAAGTAGTATATGGCTAGAATCTAGTAGAATTTTATTGTTATCTGTATCCTACACCGTAGTGGTTCTACCTCCTTCCTGTCCTAGAAACAGTGGTCTGACATTCCATTGTAAAGGAGACCTTGAACATGCTGCATAAACTGAATTGCAGTCACTCAAAGATGCGGTCCTTTCCTTCTTGCTCAAAAAAAGTCTGTTGGTTGATTTACTAAGGGCTTATACGCACAAGTAGCCAGGAGGTGGTAATAACAGGCAGCTGAGCCTCAGTTTTATTGCCTCCGACTGCCCACCTAAAGAACAACATGCATCTGCTCAGGGCTGTACTACATGCCATGGTCATGGCAAAAATGAAACCCTTGTTGAGGGAATGGGTGCTGAGCAGCAAATGCCCTGCAACTGTATGCAATACATGCAGTGGTTCAGTCTTTCAGGTTTAAAACAGGCACTGACAGGACAAAATACCACCTCCCAGCTGTCTGTCAACTACCCTATGAAAAGCTATCCTCTGTGGATTGTTTTTCAGAGAGGCGGCAAGGGTTGCTGTCTATGTGAATGAGCCCTAAAGGAGAAAAAAAATATTTCACTTTGCAACAGCAATAATAAGTAATTGTTCACATACCTTTGTAAATGAAGTGAAGCTGTGTTCATGTACATTATCTATTAGTGTACAAAAGAATATGCTGTTTAATATTTTATTTTGCCTATACAAAGTGAACTTCACCTTACCTTAGCTTCACTTATTCACAGAGCTTAATGAACATACTCTTTTTTAAGGGGGCATTCTCTACATTGTTTAGCAAATAAACCCTAATGATCAGCCTTTGCACTCTATGATTAGTAAAGCTATGCCCCAAGTACATGTGATCATAAGGAGGAGGGTAGAGATCTTCTCATGTGTGGTGAGAGACTATTGAGTTGGGTCCGCGATGCGTCAGGGAGACAGTAATTTTCTTGCGCTGAGAAGTATAGTAACAATAACTGTGCTTCTCCAGGAGAGTATGTAGTCCTGGTGTGTCAGCATGTCAGGATAATACCATGCTGAAAAAGCACAGCAACTGCGTTAATCAGAAACCCAATGAGTGAATGCATGCTGGTGTAAGCACAATATTTTGAATGTGGTTGAGACACGTGTGTCCTTTTTTGTGTCATTAAAAAAAAAGGAGATCTAAATAAGTGCTGGTGCCACAAGAAACAATCAAAATCTATGCTGCTTTTGAGTGACAGTCTACACAGCTTTGCAGTTTTGCTAGTTCTCATAGTTCTGTTTATGCACTACAGCCTTATCTGGGAATGTGGAAGGGTAAAAATGGACACCTTTTATTAGGAGTTTTATTAATAGATACTGCTGTTACTATGGCAATACTGTGAGATTTAAAAATAGCAATGTAGAGTATTTATAGACTAAACATTGTCACAGTATAGTAAAGCTGTCACAATCTGTAGCACACCTCCAATTACAATGTTGAAAATTCAGTTGTAGGAATGTCTATGTAGTTTCAAAAGGTTCTGACACTTTTAAAGGCAGCACTGAAAGCATAATAGGTTATAAACTGACTTAGGTTGAACATACCTTATTTTTTTGCCAAGTAGTGCCGACCACGCCACAACCTTGTTCCCCTTCACCATAGTTTATTATCTAATCTAATAGGCCAAGAGTCTCAACTTTAAATATACCTGTAACTGATATTTTCTTCAGCATTTTTTACACATATGGTGTTTAAAAAAAATTGCTATTCCTCCCCTGTATACATCAAATTTATTTTCGGTAAAAACTATAAAATGAATGATAATAATGACCATAACTAATGGGAAGTAAATGCCCTTTAGATTGGTGATCAGTAAAAAGATGACGGGCCCTTACAGTTGTGACCAGTTGGAGTAAAATGCTCTGTACATTAGTCAGCGGTAACAATTTGGTATTCTTCCTAATACCACCAATATGAGGGTCATTCTTCTTCCCAGAAACCATTGGTGTAAATGTCAGTCTCCAAAATGACCACTGATGCAAGAGGTATACATTCTCCCACTGACCACAAATGTAAGGAGCATTCTTCCTCTTAGAGGTCAGTATAAGGGAAATGTAAGGTAATTGGGAGAAAACATGCTTCTTACATTGGTAGTCAGTGGGTGGAAGAATGCCGCTTACACTAGTAGCCAGCAATAAGAATGTGGTCTTTCTCCAAATACCAACAGAGACCACTGGTGTAAATGACCATCTTCTAACTCACCATAAATGTAAAAGACCTGTTTCCTCCTAGAGATCACTGA